ACTTCAGAAATACTTGAGCAGTGGCTTCAGAATAATGCATTTTAATGTGGAAATGTTAAGATAGCTCCTTCAAACAGATTCTCTGTACAGTAATCAGTGCTCTTTTTGCTCTTATATGGTAATACAGAGACAATGATACTCAAAATACTGGGAGAAAAATAAATCAATCTGCCATCTGAATTTTAATTTTTAAATTTCTACTCACTGTAGTGAAATACTGCTCCACACTGAGTAGAAATAATTATGAATAGTAGAATAATAATTATTTTAATAATGATTTTTAAAATTTAAATTCTTCTGTTATTTTTGCAGAGACCTCACCATATAATATCAAGTAATGTATGATAAAATGGTCTCTCAGGGTTTTTTGTAACGTGGGTTATACACCCTGGAATTGTTCTACTGCTCAGCTTTAACGAATGCTACCAATTACTCAAATGATAATCTAAATTGCTTGCACAACCACTGCGTGTTTTGGGGAGGATTTATGGGGAAGTGGGAATTACATTTATGTTTTTTTTAATGATGCCGTGTTTTCTTCCTTGCCTCAATAATTAATTTACATGTTATCAGGAAAGAGTGGTTTATAGAAATCTCTGTGCAGTGATTACTTGGTGGTTGGTTGTTTTATTTTTTGTTGTTTCGGTTTTTTGTTTTGGGGTTGGTTTTTTTTTAAGTCAAAAGACATTTCAAGTATTTTCCAAGTAATATAAATGAATTTCTCTTTTTAGCCTCTTCTGAAGCAGTCGCCCTGGAGCAATCAGAGTAGCGGCTGGAGCACAGGAAATATATCCTGGGGAGGAATGCATGGCAGAGACCATCGTAGAACTGGAAACATGGGAATTCCAGGAACTATGAACCAGATCTCTCCTTTGAAGAAGCCCTTTTCTGGTAATGTCATAGCTCCTCCTAAATTTACTCGCTCCACTCCGTCACTGACACCAAAATCGTGGATTGAAGATAATGTTTTCCGAACTGACAACAACAGTAATACTCTCCTTCCTTTGCAGGTAAGGATGGTGTGTAACCGGGGCGTTCGTAGTCTTGCTTAGCGTTTTGGCTTTATTCACTTTAAAGGAGAATTAAATGGTGGTGACAGCCCTGATACTTGGTTGGAAAATTGTGTATTTCCCTATTACTTTTCGTCCTAAATTGCAACTAACCCAAACGTTTTTAGTGTATTCAGCGATATATGGTTGTCTCGCTTCATTAAGAATATTGACCGTCAAGAAAGATAGAAACTGTAGCCGCTGATGCACCAATACAGCAAAATAAGTTTAATCCAGCACATGCTTTCTGCCTGTGGTAACACTCATATTCTTATAAAGCCCTTTAAAACTCGGGGGTTTTTTGTTCATTTGTCCCTGTATGTACGTTTTTTTACTTTTGTAGATGGCTTTGAGCCTTTGTCACGCTTGTCTTTTACTGATATTCTAGGTCGACATTCTCATGTTAGTGAGATTTTTTTCCTCTGCATTCTAGCAACTTTTATGTTATGTTTTGTCTGGAAGCCCTGTGATTTAGAAGTGTTAAACAGGAGAATATATCTTAGAACTAAAGATCCAGGTTCATCTCTGAATTTTATCAGTGACATTTTATGTGACTTTAGGTAAGTTACTTACCTTTAGCCTCAGTTACTTTTTGGTAAAATGCTATTTTTCCCATTCCTTCCTAGAGTCTTTAGTCGAAACATTTTTTTGTTAGTGGAGATCTTCATTTTGGATCCCAGTCTCAGTTGCCATTCAACAATTTATAGTTCTTGTGTAGGTTGGGTTGTGATTTAAAAAAAAAAAAAAGCTTGGGCAACTTATTTTAGAAAGGATGCATTTAAAATAGAAAGCAGATTATGGCACTAATTCTGTACAATCTTTAATTTTTGTTACAACTCCGTCGGCTTTGTTTTTATCTCACACTGAGCTACTATATTCTAGTAAAACTAAACAAGATAATATGAAGAGAAAATTATTAGAATGTTTCTTTATCTCCACATAAGGCTATTATAGTTGGGTTTTGTTAGGTTTCACACAGAGTAACCTAGAGTTTCATTTGTCTTAATTGCGACCATATTTGAGTTTGTACAGCTGTATTTGCATCAATTAGCAAGCTAATCCTTCTGTAGCTGTAATAGTGGCAAAAGGCTGCTCCCTGGGACCAGATTTCCCACTAGAGTTCCAATTTTTCTTACCATTTTGCTGGTGGAGTTCCATTTGGCACAAGAGGCCACGTCCCGACTGTGTCCAGGTGAGCTCTGGTGCTCTGCAGTATTCTTCAGGCTAATGCTGACTTCTGGACATAACCTAAATTCTGCTCCAAGGGTACGTGTTGGACCTGAAAACTTAAGAGGATTTGCCTCTACTGTGAAGGCCTGTTCCACTAAGTAGCCTTCCTAGTTGGAATATAATATCATAAGTTGAATATTTTTTTTTGGGGGGGGTGGAAAGATAGGGGGGAAAAAAAGGTGCTATTCTTTGTGTATTCAACCTGATCTGTTCAGGAAAACAGGTTACAGATGGGTAATGCTGTGTGGTGGAGGGCTCCAAGGATAGTTGAAAGTAAACACCAAAATGTCTCCTGGGAATGTTAGCCCAAGGAACAGGGGTTAAAAATATTAATGCCCTCATACGTTGAAACTGCAGTGACGTATACATCGGAATTCATATGCAGCTGAGCACAAGCTGTGTATATACGTGGTCATTCAATACGCCTCACAAGTCAGTTACTTTGAACTCTCAGAAGCTCCTACAGCAGTCATCTAATACAGATTAATTCGTTTTATGTCTAAACAAGTGTCTTGTGCATTCCAACTATAACCTAAACCATTCCTATCCAGTAGGGTGGAAAAAAATTCTTCCAATTTAACTTTATAATACATTACATGAATGTTTCAGTTTAGGGTTGCTTGGTTTTTTTGAAGAGAGAAGGTCAGAGGGAGAAGGTGGGCACGCTTAATTGTTCTTGGTCTTACCTGTGAGCACCAGAGTCACCAATTAAATAGACCTGTTTGTCTACCTGTATTTATGCTGTAGATCTATCTATGCTTAAGTCTCCCTTATATGTATAAAGTCATAGTTGCAGGACACAGTAAAAACGCTGTTCTTTAAAAGGTTGCAGTGTTATCTACTGCTGTTGTGGAAACACTAGATGTTTCCATAAATTGCTTTGCTACACTGAAATCATGTTCTTATTTTTCAGTTATTATGCTATTGTTATATGGTTAATTCCTTGTGATGACTGTTACATTTTGCAAGTCACAATGAAAAAGTTAAATAGAGCTTGGAGCTCACGCTTCTTTTCATCAGGGCTTGTGTTGGCAATTGCGATGCTGTCAAACACCCATCTTGCTAATTTGTACTGTGCTTGTCTCTTTCCATAAAAGGCTGAGGTATTTAGATTGAGGATTCTTAAAGATACAGTAGCAATTGCAAAAGATGGTAAAAAATAGCAGTAATTTAAATTTTGTGCCGTTTGGTAAGTCCTGTATGAAAGCATTTACACGTATGTAGAAGTCACCTATTTCTTCCAGGCTTCCGCAGAACAAACTCATCTTAGCATTTGTGTTGAGCACATCCTGCATCATTCACAGTTTTGCAGGGTCCTTTTCCGCGTGATCACGCATCTTTGTTTTAGCCACAGTAATCATTTTGTATAGTGGGGATAAATCACATCTCTTCCAAACTCTATATCCAGCTCAAGCTCAGCAAATGAAAACAGCTCGGAAAAGCCAGCGTCCTCACTGACTAACTTTCTGTAGATCATTAATGTTCTGCTGCCATTTTTAAAAATGCTGTGTATTTTTTGGTGAGTCTGAGTGGCGTTCAGCAGTGTCAGCTGCTCATCCAGTTTCTGTAAATCATGCACCTGATGCAAACGAGATAAGCCGCAGAGGAATCGCGTACAAATTCAAAGTCTTCCCCTTCCATGAAACTTCTTTATTCTTTTGAATAAAGTTTGCCTTGATGGATGGTCCCTGGTATGGAACTGACATAAATTCCGATGAAAATAAAGTTTCTTGGCATTAAACTAATATGCCAGTGACAATGAATGTCACTACTGATAACTGAATAAGTAATTACATGTATTACTTACAGGGATGAAAGTAGATTTTTCTATATTTCATCGTTAGGATTGAAACATGTCCCATGTGAAGTTGAATTCGCAGTGGCCACATTAGTTACGGCAAAGCTGCTTTTGCTTACAGCAGTTATGAAGGACATCTCTCAGGGGAATGTTCCAAAGTTCAAGACTTTTTGTTTTGCTTTTAAATAAAGGTAGTTAAACATCATGGCAACATTGATTTAAACAGGAGCAAATTAAGCCAATAGCCAAAGTTTTCTTATGTGACTCACTATCAGAAGCTTTTTTTCCTCCCTGAGTTTCTTAAGATAACACAAACTACATCAATTAAAGTTCTTTCATAGACAAAATCACATCTACAAGTTTAGGTTCTGCCACAATGCTTGCACCATTATAGGTGCTTCATATAGGAAAGGGATTGTTGCCTTGTACCAGAATTGGTAAAGAACAGTTAGAAGTCTCGTCAGGTATTCATACCATCTAACTTAAGCATTTAATTGAGGAGCCTATTTCCCTCTCCTTGGAGAGAATCTAGGCTCCTTATTTAGATAATCTAATTCTCTAGAAGAACATACCTGGCATCATGGACCATATGCAGCCCCTGGGATTCCAGTTTAGGCACTTAAACAGTATGAATATTCTCTCGTATTCCCTGATCTAAAGTACAAAAAAAAAAAATCGTATAGGGCACAAAGCTAAAAATATATTTATAATCCCAGATGCTGTGTTTTTCCTCCCCCAAAAAATGCTTCAGGCGCTTCTGTGGCCAAAACGCAAGCATAGAAATCAGTATTTTGTATATTGATTTTTTTCATTTATGTTCTTTAGATGAGGAAAATAATTAACCATTTCTAAACTATTTTTTTTAATTGCAGTGTCTGCTAACCCTGTTTTGATTGCAAGGTTACTGTTTCTTAATATCCTGCAAAAAAGCTTCCTAAAGCCTATTATAGCAGTTAAATAACACACTTCAGTGTTATACACTTCAACATTTAACTGCTTCCATTCTAGTGAAAGCACTGGATTCTATGAATATGAATTTTGTCTCTGCGTCCCTTTGAGTTAAGGAAATACACTGCATGTCCGGGTGTTTTTTCACCTTGATTTGTCCTTCCTGTTTGTTCAAACAAACAGTACGTGCAATGTTTGTGGTCCCAAAAGCTGAGCCTCATTATTCTACGTTTGAATATAGCTCTCCAGCTGGGAAATTCGTATGGTGAGGCACCATCTCTCACGAATGCACAATTTTTTCTTTTTCTATTTATTTTTGAAATGTGTTAAAGTTTTCAAAGAAAACAAAACACTTGCACAGCAAAATGAGTTTTAAGATTGTACATCACAACAGGTATTTGTTTTAGATATTTAATTTAAACTGCTGTCACATTGCTTCTGTCTTACCATTGCATCCATTCAGAGGATTTCAGGTTCTCAGTATGAGATTTTAATGAGTTTAATAAATGTACCTTAACAGTGTAAATGGCTAATCTAGATGAAACACATACAAGTCAATATTAGATGAAGAGCAAGTTGCTAAAGTTGTGTTCTTGATGCCATATTTAGACTCCTAAATAGGTGGCCTGTTTCTTCAGAAGTCCTGAGTGTTTGGCAATTCACACTGAACCTGAAGGCATTGGCAGTATCTAGCTGCTAAGTTCTCTTGGTCTTCAGACCAGTGTAATTGTCCAAACACTGATTTATAAATCAGGCTTTACCAGTTTATTTCCACTTGGGCAATACCTGCAACAGAACAGCTTCTTGGGGATTTTTAATACAGTATATTGATTACCTGAGGCTAATTAAATAACATACCAAACCAGATACTTGCATCTGAGGACCGTACTGGGGATCTCTATATCTGGATAAAATGGTCTATTGCCATACTTTTGACTTCAGGATCGAGACTTTTGAAAGAATAGCATTGGGAGCTGCGCGGATA